CCCCCCGTCCCGACCCGGGGCCGGGCCGCCCCCGCCCGTACGTGGCAGGGGAGAGAAGGGGCTGGAGCGACGGCTGCAACTGCCGGGCCTGCGCGAGCCCGCCCGCATGCGCACTCCAGCGGCTCAGGCGGGCCGGCGCCTCAGCGCGCATGCTCCGCCCAGGGCCCCGCCTCCCCGCTCCCTCCCCGCGTCGAACGCGGTGGCGCTGTGGCGGCCCGGCCCCGCCCCCCGCGCGTGTCACCTCACGCCTTTCTGCCGTGAGCGTGGGCTTTAGCCCACTAGGCAGACTTGGGGGGCAAAAACCTTTCGGACGCTTGTCCCGGGACACAAAAGCCGGTCACCTGGCTGACGCGTACCCCTGAGGTAGGAGTAAGGCCCCTGCTCCCGGCCGTGGGGTTCGGGTGGAGCGCTGTCACAGAGCCACTCGTTTCCAAACGCAACCTGTGACCCTCGTGGGCGGGCGGTGCTGGGATGAAAAACCGGCCGTGAAATTCCTCCGTGCTTGTCAGGCGCCGCCACCCTGACGCAGAGAGCCTGTTGTTCCTCCGACAGTCGTTGCCCTGTGGTAGCACCGTCCTTGCAGGCGCTCGCTGCCGTCCTCCGGCCTTGCATTGGAAGCTTGTCCGCCTAAGAGAGAAAAACACGAACCTGAAGCTGATTTCCTGAGTTTTCTCTGTTAAAGATGCAGGAATGGACTCCTAAGGGTGCCTCTCAGGGAGCTGCTGGAACCGGCCCTTCTGCTACTCTAGGATATTTGAGATTTCTACTGCCTTTCTTCATTCATAAGTGAAGCTACGCATGCTAGTACATATGACAGAAGTACCTACGCAGAGCTTGCTAAAGCACAACTGTAGTTAGTTATTTCCTGGAGTTAGAGATGCATCTGAAAAGATGCCTTTTTCTTTAGTGTCTTGAAAAGCAAGGCTTCCAAATGGCCATTTCTGCTGGGACAAGAAAAAAGTCACAGGAGTTTGATTTTTGTAGTATTTGTCTTTGCTTAGAGCTTTGTCCCTGCTTAGAGGAGTGTAATAACAAGTCCAGCTAGCAATAACCAGGTGTTATTCACACTGCAATGGTGGTGAAAAAAGCTGAATATGATACATGTTTTTAATTCAATATTTCCAGGAGGAGGAGGGGCGTGGTTCAGGAGGCTTCTTTGAAAAGTATTAGAAAATACTAAGAAATAATTCAGGCATTTTCAATTAAAAAAAAAAATCTCTGCTTTTAAAAATGTAGGAAAGAGATCTGGAAAATAGGACCTTTCAATCCATTACGTTCTCTGCCGCTCATATTTCATACCTTTGTACTGATGATTCAGTCCTTCTCCAATCCATTTCTTTATCAAAGCAGTGTTTCCAAAGTGTTAGCAAGAAGAAACTTCATGATCCTTAAAGCCCACATATCACAAAGAAAACCAAAGTTCACTACCGTGTTAAGATCAATCTATTCCACGTGTAGATAAGAGCTGAACTATTGTTCCTTGTATCCCTACATACAACTGTTTACTGTATGTAACAATTAAGCATATAACCTGAAAAAGATCATTTTGTTTTGCTCCATTTTTGAAATTAGGATTCCCTGGATGAAAAAAAAAAAGCCATAAAATATATAATTTTAGCGGGGTAGGGGGGGGTGTGTGCTGAAAATGTTTTATGTTAGGTGAGATGTGCTCAGTGTTGGCTATAAGAGCATTTGATTAACATCTGAAATAGTTAGATACAGGATGTTTAATTTAATTAGTAAAAAGTCAACGCTTTTCCAGTTCAATACTTCAAGTTCTTCCTGGGTTTTTTGCTTGGGTTTTGGTATAATATGGAGACAATATATTTATTATTTTTTTAAAAGAGCTATTTTCAAAATTAAATGGGATGTGCTTTACAGAATATTTTTGTTTGTGGGGAAAAATATCAAAGACTAGAAAATATTATCACTCATTTAAGGAGCCATCCTCACAGTGCCTAGCTGCGTTTTACAACACAACATCCTTCCTAAACCACCCTATAATTTCTAAAATACTCTTTCTTCAATGAAATTGAAGGAATTGACAAAGGCAGGCATTATATATTTGATTTACAAATAAAGAATGGATGCCCATAGAAACATCAACTTCCTGTCCAAAAAAAATAGTATGAATTAACCTTTCCTAGATAACGTTTAATGACCTTCTCTGCCTTTTCTGGAGCAGTGGTGATGAACTTTGGCCTTGTATCTGATGTGACTGCTCTTTCGGAGGCTTATCAATGCTAAAGAACACTTATTTTCTGCTTCATAAAGAAAGCACAGATTTCTAAGACATGGAGAACTTTTCGGAACTGCTGAAACACTTCTGTGAAGACATTCAGAAAGTCTCATGTACGATGCCCAGTGTATTCAGAGGTGCTATCCCTAAATGTTCAGCCATCACATTTGATCATGCCCATGAACTTATTTGGAGCAGCTTGGAAGTTTTCAAAACACACCACATTCATTTTCAGAACAAATGAAAGTGGGAGGTAAATCTGACCACGCTTCTTAAACCAGATTATATAAAATTCAACATGGTGCTCTTATTTTATTAAAACCAGAGATGGCAAAACATACAAATAGATTTTTTCAGAGAACAGAATAAAGAAATACAGTTTTAACAATTACCTGTCTAAATTTCTTGGGCTTTTTTCTCACACAGGAGAGAATGGGATGAGTCAGTATAACTATTACCATTCATTAGACAAGAACCCACTACAGCGGGCCTTACCACTTTGCTCAGAGTCACGAAGTGGGAAGAGCTGCTTGCACTTCACATACCAGTTGTGATGAAGCCACCATAGGCTTCCTTCCAATAAGGTTCTCTCCTCTTCCCTTATGTCGTGGTTTAACCCCAGCTGGCAACTGAGCACCACGCAGCCTCTCACTCACCTCCCTCACAGGGGGGTAGGGGAGAGAATCAGAGGGGTAGAAGTGAGAAAACTCATGGGATGAGATAAAGACATTTTAATAGGTAAAGCAAAAGCTGTGCATGCAAGCAAAGCAAAACAAGGAATTAATTCACTACTTCCCATTGGTAGGTAGGTGTTCAGCCATCTCCAGGAAAGCAGGGCTCCATCACACAAAACAGTGACTTGGGAAGACAGAATAGCATAACTCCAAATGTCCCCCCCCTTCCTTCTTCTTCCCCCAGCTTTATATGCTGAGCATGATGCCATATGGTCTGGAACTTCCCTTTGGTCAGTTGGGGTCAGCTGTCCCGGCTGTGTCCCCTCCCAGCTTCTTGTGCACCCCCAGCCCTCCTGCTGGTGGGGTGGCGTGAAAACCAGAAAAGGCCTTGACTCTGTGTAAGTGCTGCTCAGCCCTAATGAAAACATACTGTGTTATCAACACTGTTTCCAGCACAAATCCAAAACACAGCCCCATGCTAGCTACTATGAAGAAAATTAACTCCATCCTAGCAAAAACCAGCACACCTTACTCCTCACTTCAACACCCAGAAACTCCTCCCCTCTCACTTTGACATTGCTTTCAACCTTTTTGTACTGAATAACATTAATAAAAGGTGGGTGGAGAAGGGGGAGGGTTTATATTTACTTATAGCCTAAGTTTAGAAACCAAACTCTTTAACGCCTAGGTCAAGGGACCCCTTTTCCAAACTCCCCCTCTTCCAAGCTCCCCGCAAAGCCAAAGGACAGAGAGACAGAGAGAAAGGTGCAGCCCAAAGTCAGTTCAGAGCAGGGTGCTGACTGAAGCACTCCAGCTGCTACTCTGGTAACACCCATCCACCTCTGCAAGCAAACATGCTTCCTATCACAGGCTAATGCTAGGGGTGATGTGAATAGGACCTATGTTACATATTTATAAAGAATTTCTTTCCTAGCCTGTTTCTTCAAGCATTTAAGTTTTGGAGTTTTTAATTTTCTCATATGAAAACAGAATATTTTGTCTAATTGCCATTTATAATAAAGAAGTTTTAGCTGGGAAATTTAAAAGTCCATGGTAAGATACAGATCTTCTTCTGTAAAGACCAGGCCAACGTATTATAGAAGTAGTAAGTAGAATTTGGACTCAGAGTCAACAAGAACTGTGCTGTTTGTTGATTTACCTTTTGTTTCTAATTAAATTGAAATTGTCCTTACAAAAGGGAGAGGAGAGCTACACTGCATAGGCTAGGTAAACATGTTCAACAGGCCTGAAAAATGAGAAGGGCATAAATAGAGCAACTTCTATACATCTGTACTGTAATACAAAACTATCATAACCTCAACTCCTTCCAAAGACCTTCCTCGGTGATATGCAGTACAAGTAGTATCAAGAGGATCTAGCACTGCATTGCTGCTTAACAATTGCACAGTCTTGCTAGTGTGTGGTCCTGCTTTTGACTCCTGGTGGTCTTGGCTTATGATCTATTTTGAGCTATCTGCAGTTGGAGTTGTATGTCCATCATTCAAGATACCTGTGAGATCTACATAAAACAAACCACAAAAAAATGCAGGATTGTATTTCATGTGTTTACAGGTTTCTAACTCCAGTTAGGGAAGGTAGACGAGGAAATTTTCTCTGAAAAAGTCTGCGTTGATCTGAAAGTTTCCTGTGAATGTTTTGCAAGCTGCGATTTTGAAACATACTAAGTTTTTGAATGCAGATACAGTGGTACCTCTGGCACCCAGAAAACAGGAAACACTTTAGAAACTTTTTTCTTGAAGATTGGTGATCTGAAAGTGTACAGAATACAAATCTGAAGTCCCTGTAGAGCAAATGAAAGTGTGGAGTCAATATTTTGCTGATAAAACCAGAAAATATTAGACAACAGTAATTGACTTAAAAAACAATCACAAAACAATTTTCAGTAACCACTAACAGTGACATTAATATCTTGAAATACAAGAAGTATTTTCAATAGGAAAATTATTCTATGTAACTATGGATTTGCAACTATACTCACCTGATTTGCACATTGTAACGGATTAGCTAGCGTGTCTCAGGATCATATTATTACCCTCTGCTGGGTAGGACAAAGGTAAGACTTGTTTGAGCATGCCAGAAGCATTAAATGTGGCTGGTGTGCCCTATCAGCACTTCAATCAGACACACATGGAGGGAAGCGGGACTTCAAAATTTCTATACCTGTTCTTCTAAATTCTCATTTCAAGGATTAATCAGGAGTATCTTGGGTTAAAAAAAAAAAAAAAAAAAAAGGCTCATGGTTTTAAATAAATGGATCTCTGTTACCTGTTCCTGATTTCAGTTTTAAATCATGGGTATAATCCGTCAGTGTAGTAATAATCACTTCAGGACTTTTTGCACAGAGCATTTGTAGATCTGATCCCCACTGGTGTACAGGCCCTCAGTTTTCAGTAGATCAAACTGATAGTAAACAACTTAATATTTGGGGATGGGGGGATTTTCACATATTTCCAATTAGCTGTTTCGTAGAAAATATTCAGTGGTGTAATAATGAAGTATCCATTACTCCAAGTACTTCATATGCCCTATATGAATATAAAGCCAAGAATTTAGCAGGGCCATGGGGGAAAAAGAGGCAGGTGCTTTCCTGTAGGCATTTATCCAGGATCATTGTGAAAGGTCTCAAGCCAGCAAGCTCTAGTTACTTCCCTGGGACTCTTTCCCACAGCTGATGCAGGAGTTTTTTCCTGATATTCATTCTGAATATAATTTTATGTATGATTTAGTACAAGAGAAGCCACTCAGACAGGAACATCTTTCCAGTGGTGACCTTGAAATAAAATCCCACATTGATTTGCACAATGGGAAGAGTTTTATGAGTGACAGACCAGAAGGATAGCATCCTTTTCTTAATAAAAATTTTAAATCTCTATAACTGCTTAGCAACAAGTTCCCAGGCTATACCAAGCTATAGAACAAATATACCCAACTTTTTTTTTTTTCATTATCTCAATTATTAGTCTCAGAACTGCTAAATACTTTAACATGGGTAGCAAAACAGCTGAAAACAAGGCTTGTTTCTTCCTGACTTATTAACATGAGGTAGGCTACCATCCAGGTGCTTCTGAGCACTACTACAATAGAGACAGTGGCAATCATCTTTTTCATAAATGAATCCCTTTTATTCCTAGAAACACACACACAAAAAGTTAAGTCTTTCTCTATACCATTTAATATCTTTTTGAGCTTTAAACTTCCTATTTATTCAGGGCTATATTGCAAAGATGTGTTATTCAGATGAGCTGAGAACATACGCCTCCCTACATTTGTTGGACATATCATCCAGAGAAGAAATCCAGAAAAAGAAATCTAACCAAGTTTATCAGAATAATCTGTGTTTGTAGTATGTAGCTTGGATGTATCTTTCTTTAACAAAAAAAGTGAGGTTTACCAAGGCAATAAGAAGCATTGAAAATTAGCATGTTAGCTATTATAAGCTTTTTAGAATGCTTATAACTTCAATCCAAATGTGCTTAATTTTCAGTATAAGAATAAGCTGCCAGTGAAGTTTGGATATCCAGTTTCTCTCAAGCCTGAGAGGAGTCAGAGATGAGGTATTTTGTTTGCTCCAACCATGAAAATTGTACATAAAAGCAATGAAGAAATGGTACAAAGTTTTGTTGAATGGATCAGTTCTGTGGGATTAATAAAAACTAAAGCAATCCCCTTTTAAATAATACAGTGTACACTGCAGAGTTTGTGACACACAGCCTGTGACAATACATGGAGTGTTGATGTAAAACTGAGCAAGTAAATCTGCTTCAAAGCTGCTAGGGAACTGGCCTGACATTCAGATGTGCTGAGAAATTCATAATTCTCATTTGGCTAGACCCAGCTCTGCTCTCACTTATACGGGTTTAAATCAGGGATAACATTCACTGAAGTTGAGTGACACTGCAACCCAAAAAAAGGGAGCAAAAGCCTGAAATGTGTTCATTGATATGCACTTGAACAAAGTCTGACTCATTGCAACAATGGAATTCATTTTCTGACTGCTTTAAATATACATTTCTTTAAAACAAAAGATTTTGTCAAAAATCTCAGTTTGTGGCAAGAAAGTCTGAGCTGGTGACAAGAGAGCGAGGAACACATTTGCTGAAAGATCTGAGGAGTCCTATGCCATCTCACCTTGTCAAATTCACATTCTTCTTCCATGTCGCAGACACACTGATCTTGATGAAGATGATGATGTTAAACAGGAGTATGAGTGCTACTGGCAAGAGGAACGACCACAACATGGGCTTTTGCACACTGAAATTCTGATTTTGATCCAGTGCTGCAAGCCAGCAACTTTTAACATAAAGAGAGGCCATTTCAGAAGATTTGTTAGACACATTATTCAGAATACCAAAACAAAACAAAATAATATTCCACTTTTCATCCTGAAAGATCTCATAGGGCTTTCTAGGCCTTGTTAACCTATTTCTGAAAGGCAACCATTCCTTGAGAACTGAGGTCTTTCAATCATGCTTCTCTTTCTCTGGGGAATGCAAAATGATTTATCAAACAAATTGCATAGAGAAATACAGTAAGGTGCAATATAACTAGGTATCTGGCCACCAAATGCAAGTTTATCTTTAGGGTGTATATATTTTAATAGAGCTAAAGAGTAATAGGGGAGACATAATGGACAAAGGTTGAAACAAAAACAGGGGCAACTTCAGAAGGGCAGGGTTATCCTGCAATAAGCTTTACCTCTCTTTTTTCATTGCCAAATAATCTCAAGTTAGAAGTCAACGCTCCCTAAATGAGTGTCATAAGATAGCCACCATGTGGAAGGGGGTTGTATTTATGTTTCCAAAGGAAGTCTACCTTTGTTCTGCATCATCCACTATCACCAAGGTGCGTTGTAAGCCTAATAGCCTGCTGTGGTATGTGGGCACTAAAATGAATACCGATACCAAAAACATAGGGTAAATAGGGATACAGTTATGTTGGCCAGAAAGATTTTAAATAAATGGGAGGATTAAGTTTAGGTACTGAAATGCTGTTATGCACTTAAATGAGGTCTTGAATTTCAGCTAGGCTAAGAGCATCTACAGCTTCCATTTAAGTCACAGGGGATCTTGGAGGAGAATTCAAGGCAGATGTGGATCCAGTACCCTAAATCCTTAGTGAGGAGAAACTGCAATTCCTTATAGTGAATGTTTAGCATGAGTGGAGAGTTTTGTTTTCTTTTAAGTACTTAGATATACAAAATAGTATACCAACAATAAATCTAGAATTGTATTAATAATAAGCCATCACAAAAGGTGTGGGATAGCAAGTATTGTAATAGTACATTAACTTACAATTCTTTCTGTTGGTGGTTTAAAGCTATTCCTTCTCTGTAAGTAGGTCCAAGTGTTATTGCAACTACTACAGCAGGGATTCCTAACTAATAGGAGAGACACTAGCAATTTATTGTTCGGTTGCATAGGCGTACCTCCCTTCCACACAGATAACTTCTTGCCTCCTAAAATGCATAGATTTTAAGAGCTCTGTTTCATCTGCCTTGCACCAAGCTAAGTGGGTTTTCTATAGCCCAGAGAAAAGGCAGGACTGAGGGTTGCGAGCACTGTTTTTCTGAGGACAGCTCATGTCCATGACTTGCTGATTTTTGCCATTAAAGAGCTTCAGCGCAACTTCCAGCGCCAACACCAATGGTGACAGAGCAAACTCCTTCCTGTGCTGTAGCTACCTCCCTCATCACAGCTGTGCAACCCTACCCGCTTGTCAGCAGTGAGAAAATAATTTAAGAAAATTCTGCACCAAGCACCATTATATTTCATGCCAGCTGGATGCAGAGTGTAACTTTTGCCCCCTCGAGAAGCATGGCAGCGTGGGCTTGCCTCCTTGATGCCTTGCTTTGCTTCCTCTCTTCCATGTCTCCTGCCTACCTGTTCGCTAAGCAGCACATCTCATTGGAAGAAGCCTCCCGCACAAGTTTTTATCTGAGAAATAAACATGCTTCTTAAAAGTCTGTTCCTCCTTCAGCTCTAACAGAGATCTTCTAGACTGCCAAGTATTTGCTGTGCTCTCAAAGTAGATCTGAAAAGTTGTGAGTCAGAATCATGCTATTTTGGACATGTGTAACTAGTCACAGGACACAGTCGAGAACCTAACGCTGTGCTATCGTGCGAATATACATGGAGCACAGTGATGTGTAGCCAGACAGCTTTTGCTGAACATTTTCTGGCTTGCACATGCAGTCCAAATTCTAAAAATTTTAGAGGAATTTCCTCTACCTCCACCCAAATGCAAAACATAATAATGAAACAATCAGGATCTAAAACTGCTTGGTAGATGCCATCAGAAACAACATACCACACAAGCTGCATACACAACGTGGAAAAGGCAGGTATTCCTGTACACTGTATTAGAAGAGTTTCTTGAAGGAGGCTGAGATTTTTATTTTACCTAGTGGGCATCCATCTGCGTTCTTCAGTCCTCCAGGTAGTTCCCTTTCAGCTTGCCGTATTGCTGCTAGCTGTTGTATTGACTTAAGAATGTGCTCTTTGCTTATTAATAAATAATATGTAACAAATAATGTCAGTCACTCCTTGCTTTTGGATGTGTGCAAGGCTCTGGCTGAGGTCATGAGGAATCTCAGAGATATGTAAATGAAAAATTTGAGTCCATATATGCAATCACTGTACCTGAAAGGTTTTTACTTAGTTGACAGAAACAGATTGTTGAATGCCTTGATGACTGTGAAAATTTCTCCTGCACACAACATCTATGTTGCTGTGCCAGTGAACAAGCTATCAGTTTCAGTGCCGTTATCAGGACAATGAAAACAAGCTCAGTTTATGCAAGTAGTGTGAGCAGTAACAGGAGATTATTTATTAAATCACATTGTGCTAAAACAGAGACACTGATTATGATTGCTCTCTACTGATCTCCTATCTTTACAACTCTCCCTGAATGTACTATGTACTGATACTTTGGTAAGAGTTGCCATATATACGACTTTAAATCTTACCCCAACCGATCACTAACATGGTTATGAGGAAGAGTCCAGGCAGGGGCTTCATGGCTCTAAGCAGCAGTAAGTACAACTGTGCCAAATTGAGTGCTGTCCATATAAATGTCACCAACAAAAAGTAGCGCAGTTGGACAGCCACAGCCGTACACCAGGAGTCTGCGGGAGGATCTACATGTCAGATGTGAGTAAGGTGTTACTGGCGGTATCATAAGGAAGGTATTGCTGGCAGTAGCTGGTGGTATCGCTGCTGTGATTCCTGGCATTTTGATTTCCAATTCCAGAGATGAAGATGATGTTAAAAATGAGCATAGAGAAATAGAGACTCACTAATATCCACGTTACAGGTGACTTCGGAGTTTTACTATTGGTAGGAATACATATAGGAGAAAAAAGTAGAGCAAAGTAAGAGAAATTGTAAAATATTTCCTCATTTCCATTGATACTATAAAAGCAAGCTAGAGTGTGCAGTCTTTAATACAGAGCGAAAACAAAGCAATAACTTGTTTGCAGAATTCTACACCGTCATTACTCTCAGACAACTTACCAAGTCCATCAGTTTTGTCTGATTTCAACTAGAACAGAGAATACCCAGCAACTTTTAGGACTGGGCCTTTTCCAACAGCAGTTGGGATGCATTTTCTTTTTTCCACTCTGCTCTTTTTAGAATCTTCAGTGTTAAGAGGTGAAATAGCATAAGACAAGTATTTCTAAACACTCTTCAAGGTACAAGAGAATAATAATCCTCCACTTCCAAATGCTGTCTTGCAAATGCATTTAAAAGGCAGAGTCTGGAAGCTCCTACAATCTTAAATACATTGACCTTGACAGATTGCTTCAAATCTACATTAGTGCAAGCAGGACGAGAAACATGCATTCATCTACAATAACTGCAACTCTGTTGGCATGACTTTGCTCCTTGTGCAAGGGGAAATCACATGACACCATTAATCACAGGCACATCCATCAAGGAAGTTTGCTGCAATTGCATTTAAGTCACTCACAATAAAACTGTAGTACAAGCAGTGTGCATAACACACATTGCTGTATAGTCACAGTGCTTTGAAATCAACTGTTCTCTACAGACGTTTTATAAACAGAAGGCAATAGAGTGTAGAAACTATCAAACAGGCAACAGAAAGCAGAGTAACATCTAAGTAGGACAGCAAGAAGAGAACCTGAGGAAAAACATATATGTGTTTACGTGAATGCTAAAAGTCTAGGCGATAAGACAGTGGACTGAAACGACTAGCTTTGAATGAAGACACCAACGTAACAGGCATATTGGTAACTGGCTAGAAGATAACTGATTAGACATTGTAATACCAGGGTACAGGGCATACAGGAAAATAAAAAGAAGGTCATGCAGGTGGTGGAATACTGTTACACATTTTTAAAGCCTGGTATTTACTGAGAGTAATGAACTAAACACTTCAACACATAGCACGGATCAGCGTAGCAATAATACAGTGCTGGGTCTGTGTTGTCAACTGCCGGGCCAGGGTAGTAACAGAGACATCAGCGAGGCAGCAGGGGACGTGAAATGCAACAGAAATGGCAGACTGCCCTCACCCCGTGTAGATGTGGCATCTGGAGATACTAATAAGAATTGCTAGAAGTGCTGGTTGGGTCCAGTTTGAGACAGTTAGCACTTAATGGGTAGAGCGTAAATGTCTGTACTATCTTAAAGGTCTAAACACAAAAAAAGGTGAGGCACTGGCTGTGTGTTATATGAAGGTATAGCTAGGTAACAATAAGACTTGAAGAAATGGAAAATCTGCTAATCATCAGAAGAATTTCCTTTTTACGCTATGGAGACCAACTAAACAGTGTATCGAGTCATCCCTTTCGTATTCCAGCCACTGAATAGCTTAAATGAATAACTTCAATAACTGAATTGTTCTCAAATTGCTTATGTTGGGAAGCTATCAAAATCAAGGTTAATTCAATCATGCAGCTTTGAAGTGTTTGTGAAGCTTGGAACGGTAGGAAAGAAAGGTGAATGCGTTGCATAGGGAGGAAGGAAATTTGCATTTATAATTACTGGAGAAGATATTATTTGACTTGAAAACATCTGAATATGCACCATGAACAAACAGCAGATCGTGAACGCCCGTTCTCACTATTCTTACTTCTGACTTCTAGCACGACCTTATATGCAAAGTAAATATTTGTATTTAGGAGGAATAACATCCTTTTAAAGCTGGGCTCCGGATCCCTACTACGAACACCTCCTCCTCCCTTCTCCTGGCATTCCCCTTGCCCCCCCCAGCTGCCCCAAGCTCACTAGATGGCAGCACCACAGCGCGGCTCCTCACAAAATCCCAAATTACTAAGAGCCCCACAATAACCTTATGTTGCAACCTTGTGGGGTATCTTCTTAGTATTAGAATAGCTGCTACTAATACTATGTATTACTTTAGAGAAGATTTGGCTTTTGAACCATTTAGTGAAGGCTATGTACTGGGAAAATACAATGTTGAGTTCAAGGGTTTCCCATCAAAGGATCCAGGCAGGAGAAGCATTCAATAGTCAAGCAAAAATATATGATGAAAGGAACTTCTCTTATTTAAAGGGACCGTAGCTGGTTTCTTTTTTCTTTTTTCTTTTTTTTTTTTCATCTGGGACTAGTGATAAGGAAACAAAGCGCAGAAGCAGGAGAAAAGCAGTCACTGTCTGTAAGGTGCTTAGCCACATTCAGCTCTCCATGTTTTCTACATATGGCAGAGCTAAGCCTTAAAGCAAGGCTTAGGCGTTCATGGGTTTTATCAGGAAGAGTTTATCATTCATACAAAAGAGTTTGAATTTGAATTCTTGAGGGACAGAACTGTTTCATCCATGTTCAGCTGATCATAGGACTGAAAGGAAAGGCTTCGCTCTTAATCCTTCCTAATGTGTTAGTGTCAGCATCACCTCATTCCCTCATGCCAGTCTTCTCCAAATCCCTTTCACTTTCTCACTGATTTGGTATCCTGGGCCAGCATTGGCTCCATTCAGAGGCATTTGCTGGGAACTGGTAACCTGACTGAGGAAAATGCAGGCCAGTTAAGAAATATGAGATGGGATGCTGTGTTCAGGCAAACCCAAGCAAAATAAAATAATCACCATTGGAAATTCAGGCCATTTGCAAAGCAGGCATATGCCAGGAATGCCAATGAAAAAGGCTTTGGTCATTCATTTTGCTTTCTGCAGAGTTTTAAGAAAAGTAACACGCATATATATTTCCTGCCTCAATTTCCTAACACTTTTTTTCTTCTTGGGATGATGCAGAATCTCAGACACTGTTTAAATAGTAATTTAAGATTACTTGTGATGCTAGGGAGTCCAGGTTTTCATTACAATTCAGAATTTTGGGAAGTTCTAAAGTAGGAGTTCTCCCTTTCTGGAGCACATCCAGATTGCCATTGAAGTGTTACCTGTAATTTTGCAAAAGCCGAAAGGTATGCATTGAGTACAGAAGCGCTCACAGGCACATGATCTCATTGGGAATTAAAACTGTACTGTGGGTGTGACATCTGATCCAGTGTTATTTTCTGTTTGCATCTAAAATATTTGTCTTTCAGTGTTAAGAGGGACCATGAATTATTTAAGTAGTTATTGTTCTTTTTAGAACATGTGTTTTATACTCAAATACGTAAACTTGTCAGAGTGGCTGACATTATTCATGCCAAATTCAGATAGGTTTAGTTATGCTAGAGCTGCAGAAACACATCTTTTAAATGGGAGGCACAGGCATCAGCACTGAGCTATCAGGAAGACTTTTTATCATGTCTTGAAAAACATAGCTTATATGTTGTAAAAGAAATGCGAAAGAGCATGTGGAGCAGCCATGCAACGCTTACTCCTCTGCAAGCTTTCTGAAAGCTGAGACAGTTCATGGAACCACAGTTGATGGAAAGCATCCTGAATCCTAATGCTAAATAGTAGGATATAAATAGATTATTTTTCAATCAAAAGGCTGTTCAGGAGCAGGTATTAACTGACTCACAGCCCAGCCCCAGACAGGCGCAGATAGGACTTGGTGTGCATACCTTAAATTCTCTGCATTTGGGGTAGAAAGCTGTGTGGAAAGGTTTGCGCTCCTGCTGCCTGACCTATGCTTTTCTGGCTTCAAACACTGACCTCTCTTCTGGTCTAATAATCTGACATCTTTCACAAACCTTACATTTACTTTTGGGAAGTAGAAGTGAAAGGAAAGAAACACATACCATTCACTATCAGGTTTGCATTTCTCTTTGGATTTGCCATATTTACCCACTATAATCCATTCAAAAGTAAAGGTTTTTATAATGCATTCAGAAATGTTCACTGTGCAAGTACTGGCTTCACAGAAATTAACTGCACAGAAGGAAAAAAACCCCTATCCAGATCAAATATTTTTAGTACAAGGACCAATTTTCAAAGATAAAATAGTATTGAGACAATAGAAGCTCATTGAACCTTTTGCCCTAAAGGAAATAAAACCAGTTGGGTAATTCTTGTCTAAACCCAAGGTGCTGAGCTGCTAAAAGTGATATTTATGGAGTCACTGAAACCCTAAAAGCCCATATGTTTTGCCATCTCTCCTATTTTCACTGCCTTGCTCCTAGAAAATTTGTAAAAGATTATAAAGCTTCACTACCAGAGTCTTGTTACCTAGGCAGAAGTCAGATTTGGTAACCTAATGCCACAGAAGATGGCAGGGGGCAAAAATACACATTTGTTCCAAATGGGGTTTGGACAATTAATGGGGGACGGTCCTTTGGTGAGTCTGAAGCATGATGGGTTGGATGTGGCTTCTGGCACAGGGAGTCGCTACCCTGCTGCCTGCTGGAACGGGATGGGGTGGCCAACGCAAACCCCATGCCTTGTCCAAGCACCTGGTGCTGGCTACATCTAAAGGCAGGATGATGACCTCAGTGGAACCATGGCCTGACCCAGTACAGCAGCATAGAGCATTCTCATGTCATAGCATACCACTACAACTTAACAGAAATATACCTTGCAATGCTGCAAACACTTGAAAAAAGTACTGCAACACACAGACAGAAGATTTTTGCTTGGTCTTAGGACTTGCAACATCCTGGTTTTGCTAACTTTTTCTAATTTGGACCACATTTCAGATGACTGTGTCCCATTAGCAGGACTGAGTCAAAGACACATACTTATGGTGGGGGTCCTGAGGGGGGCTCAGGAGACCTGGAGTGTTCTCCATGTTCTGGCACGGGTTTCTTTGCCAAGTCACGTAACTTTCTGTGGGTCTGGTTTTCTATAGGGTCTCAGTTTCCCATGACACAATGATACTTTCCTTCTATAGAAATGAACATGGTTATGAACAAATAAGGACACCGTGACTCTGCAAAGATTAGGTCTGCCTTACAGCATCATACCTGAACCTCGCTTGCCAGGAGGTGATTAGCAGGGCGAGGTGTCTCAAAAATGTGAGGTGGCAGGAACCTCTGGAGGGCATCTAGACCAAACAGAGGCTCCATGTCCTCGCTGGGAAACATGTTCCAGTTACATGCTTCACTACCTTTCTAACCAAAACATTTCTCTTCATGCTCAATCTCAGCTTCTCAAACTGCAATTTATAACTGCTGCCCCTTGCTTTACTTTCTGTCCTTACCAAGAAGAGTTTAGATTCAATGGTCTTGGCAACTCGCGCTCAGTTAGCTGGAGGCTCGCTGTCCTCACAGCATCCTGCTGGACCCTCTCCAGCTTCTCCAGGTCTTTTTAGCCTGGGGTATATTAAGCACGTATTTCATGGTGGGGCCTCACCGGTGCCAGGAAGGGGAGGGTGATAGTGTCCGTCAACCTGTCTCCCTCCACATAGCACAGCTGCTCTGCCATGTTTGCGATGAACACATGCTGTTGGCTCATACGGAACTTGGCAGCCACGGTCACTCCCAGGTACTTTCCAGCGGGGCTGTTCCTCAGCCAGCAAGTTCCTGGTCCGTACCAATGTCCCTGGCATGGAGTTCGGCACTTGTCCTTGTTGGACACTGTGAGGTTTCTGTTGGCATGGTCCTCAGGTTTCTCAAGGTTCTTCTGCATCGAAGCTCTGCCATTAACTGTGTCAACAATACCTCCGCCCCATCCCAGGCTTAGTTTTGTCTGCAGATTTGCTGAGAGGGCATGCTGTGTCGTTGTTCAGGTCTCTCATAAAGGCATTAAATGATACTGGCCCTAGTATCGACCAGCAGGTTGCTCTACTTTTACAATATTCCAATCAAGTCACTGATTGAGCCAAGCCTTTGTGCTTGGCTGTTGAGTTAATTTTCAACCTGGTTAATGTTTCGTTCACCCAACCTGTACATCTTCACCTACCAAACAAGAATGCTGAGGGAGATGTTGTCAAAGGCATCTCTAAAATCAAGGTATATTACATTTGTTGCTCTCCTGTTGTCTACATAGCCAGTTATTTCATACAGAAGGCAGTCAGGTTGGTCAGACAGGATTTGCCCTTTGTAAATTCATGCTGTTCCAGATTATCTTTTTGTCTTCCACATGCATGGAAATAGACTCTAAGAGGATGTGCTTCATAATACTTCTAGGGGCTGAGGTAAGCCTGACTGGCTTATGGTTTCCCAGTCCTCCTTCTTGCCTTTCTTAAAGGTGGGCATAATGTTGGCCTTTTTTCAGTTCCCTGTGGCCTCCCTTGATCACCATAGGTGACAGATAGCAGCCCCACAGTGACGTTGGCCAGGTCTTTCAGCAGTCTTGAATGAATCCTGTCTAGACGCATGGATTTGAATACTTTTGTGGTGATCCTGCCTTCCTTCTGACAGATGAAAGCCAGGAATAAGTTGCTACATTCATGCATGAATACATATGCATTCATACATGAGTACCTATTCAAGCTTTATTTTTTATCTTTCTAGTTATTCAGGCCTTGATCTGAAAGTGTTTTGGGCTGGTTTATATACATATCTGTACTACTTGGGTTTGGACTTACTAAAGAGAGTCCATCTGAAATAAAATTGGTGCTTTTTTTTCCCACTGATGCAATTCTCAAATTATTGCAAATATTTTGACTTCAGTAGAATTGCTTCAGAATTACAAACAAAACCCCAAAGAAATCACAAGTAGGAAGAAAACCAGACCCTTTTTCATGATCTGTGAAGGAAAGTAACCATGACGTAATGTACAAAAGGAATGAAATATGAGCCAAGTGGAAATTTTCCATCACCCTTGGAACAAAAGTAATTGGTTTACAAAAGTTGTCTACCCTATATGCCCTGCTGTATCCTGCTGGCAATAAACCAGATCACCTCCTCTATACCCCTGACACCCGACTGCACTTCCTTCCAGCTTCCCCATCACCTTTAGCACTATGTTCCCACGCCCTTTATACTGCATCATGCCTCAGCTCCCCCCGCAACCTCTGTGTCCTACATCCGTCTTTAGATTCCCAACACATAAAATACACACCTTTATTTGGTTAGCTGGTGGAGAGGAGACAAATGTCATGGGTAGTTTAGAGCTATGCATCTTAGTGGCTAGACTGGATTGACTGCCCACGTGGCCCCCACCTCCCCACTACCAGCATAAGTCTCCTTGCCTTTTTCTCAGTGAGATATTTACAGGGTTGGTCTTCTGTACCCAAATAGTGACATGTGCAAAACTCATAGGATGTCGAGACCTTTAAGATCTGCAACCATCTAGTGAATTTGGTTGAAACTGGTCAGCAAGTCAAAGTTACCCTGAAGGTGGAACAACAGAGAGGTGGGCAGTATAAACATTCCTCAGGAAAACAGAGTAAAATTCAGATTTTGTAAATGCATTAATGTTTGCTATTATTTCAAGTTAATGATGCCTGTCCAAACATTCCTACTCATGTGTTTTAATAATCACAGTTATTAAAATCTATTCTTTAAGGCAATTCACAGCAAATCAAATGCAGAATACCAGAGGAGTGAACATAGGGAATTATAGACTCATCATCATGGTTTGTTCCCAGTGCTGAAAACCCAGCCATGATTATTTTATTTAAGCCAACGTCTCTGAAACGTATTGCCCAAATGTTCCAATCCATCATGAACCCATCCAATCTGTCATTGTCTGTTGGACGTGTTACCCATCCTATCATAAGGGAAATGACATGGGGGACCTGAAGTTTCCATCTACATAGCAGTCTTCACCAAGAATGTTTTCCTGGAAGCTGCAGATCTTTCGATGTCCTTCTGACCAAACACGTGAGGTCATTTGACAAAGGCACAGCTGACACATGACAGCCTATCCATGTGTCACACTGGCCACAGTGTTGGGTTGGAAAGCATGTGCTGGGGATCTTACCAGCTCTGAAGATGCCGTGGCTCACTGAGCCGGCACCCTTCTGGCGTTGGCTGGGAGAACCCGCTCCAGTTAGGGCAGTGCAGAGGTGCCATGCTGCGGTGGAGGGGACTGAAATGGGAGTCAACCAAGCCAGTGCTGTGCCAGGCGCAGGAAATTTGACTCATCCAAAACCAGTGCCAGTGGCAGCAGGAGCTGAGGACAGGCATTGTCCTGCAGGGTGCTGAGCTGGGTGGTGTCCCTTGAACACTGGCAGATCCAGACATGGCAATACTGGCCACTGACATCTGAATTGGATTTTCAAGTCACTGTGATCTTCAGACAGAGGAATTCAAACAAAGGCCAAATTGGCTAGAAACAGGCCACAGACAGTTGAAACCTGTAATGTCTTCCTCAGATACATCATTAATTTGAAAGAGCAACAGAAGTAGGTAAAGGATATGGCCTCACCTAGCAAGAAGAGCCACGTCACTGCTTGTGGATCCAACCCTGCTGAGCAAGTCTTGGCCAGGGGGGAAAGATCAGGGGCCTCCTGAAGCAAAGGGATTCCCAGAAATGTTGCCAGCTGCCCATGGTGCCTGGCTCGTACTGACCTATCTCACAAAGAGCTCCCACCCACTCCTCTGGGCACACGCGGGCTCCGTCCTGACAGGCGTCACTGTTGAGGCAGGGGCATGGAGGTACCATGGATTCTGTAGTGTCTGTGTAAATAAAGAATCAAGATATTAAAATATTCATTAACACGTATGTAAAACCACATATCTACCTAATTTGATGAAGGAAAGAAAAAACGTGATTTATTTGAAGCTTCAACTAAAAAATGTATGTGACCCAGTCTTTCCCATTTACTTAGTCACTGGTCCCTCCTTGTCACTAAAACCAATGGCATGAATGTGGGGTTGATGGACCTCAGGCTCTGAAAGATGGGTCCAAGACCTGGGGGATCTCCACGGACCAAGGCTTCCTCACAGTCAATCTCACCTGGTCCCTAAGTGAAGGATGGAGTTGGAATCCTTTGCCATAAGGTTCATGGTGGAAATTGTGCACCTGTGCACTGGGTGCAGTATGGTATGGTATGGTATGCCTTGAAATAATGCAGAAAACCAGACTTGAGGGCTGCCGTTTGATCTGACATTTTAATGCCTGTGTTTTGAGACGCTGACAAATAGAGTAAAGCCAGAAAATTCAAAAGTAAACAGTGCTGTCAAGAACACATGTGCTATTGTATATTTCTAATGTTCTTGCTGAACTAAAAGATTGCCTAACTTCTTAGTCTTTAATGGAATTCATATAACTGGAAGATTATTGCAAAGGGGATGTGCCACGTGGCGGGGGTAATTCTGTTCTTGGCACGCATCACTCGGCTTTTGCTCATGTTGTTGCTATTTAACATTTGTGTTTCGGGCTGTCTCAGCTACATTACAGCCAGATGTCTATGATGACAGTGGAATAACATCTATGTGTCACTAGGTAATGTCTCCACTAGACATTAGCTTTTCAAAACACATTGTCTCTCCGTTGGAAATCTTACAGAATGGAAAGGAAAACTCCTCCAGCAATTGAGATCTGGGTGGCCCAAGCTACGCAGCTCCGGAGAACGGCTATATCTTGGGGACCCGGGTGCCCGGTTGGGCAGCTGTTGCCCCTTGCCCAGTCACAGGCATGTGGCACATGGGGCCACGTGGCAGAGGAGAGACAGCGGGGCTCAGCCGCTTGCTTTGGATTGGGAGCCTGGGAACGCACAGCATCTGGGAAACCTGCAGCACAGCTCCAAGCCTCGGTCTCACTTGGTGAATGCATGCCCAAAGCGGCCAGGCAGAAGGTGACGCGGCAGGGTAACCTGGCACGGAGGATCCCGAAGCCAGGGAAGGAGCGACGCTGCCCTGCAAGGGCACAGACCCCGGGCTGCCTCGGGTGGGAGCAGCGGCGGCCGCACTTCCACAGCCGGGCTGGGCTGTCGGGGTCTGGCTTTGGCACTGTTAGTCCCAGGCTGCAAAAGGAGCGTAAGGAAAGGGAAAGGTGAAAAGGAAGACAGGGCTGACACCCCTCTGAAAGCAGTAAAACAGAAAAGCTCAAAGCTGTGGGGTTAAAAAGTCCAGCGTTTACCCGTGGAGGTGCCGGCACAGCTGCCACGCAGCCCGGGCGGCGAAGGGCAGGCGCCAGCAAACAGCATCGGCCTTACCTTTGCCTTCCCCAAATGAGTCCCTCTGTCATAACAACGTGATGCTCGCAGGATCTGTTAATGTTAGTTGAAACTGTGGCTCTATTTAGTGCTTCTTGGTAACCTTTCTTAGCCTACTGTTCAAAGTCTCATGTACCATTGTAAAGCGGGTTTTTTTCACAGAGGGAAATACGTGTCTTTCACAAATATGAATTCCTGAGGTGACTAATGCAGTCATGTCTACCCCACACACAGTAAAACTCATCAGGCTCCAGTAATTGTGGCATTGGCTTAAAATCATGGGGTTCTTCTGGTTTTATTTTATGATTCAGAAAACATCTTCTTTTTATTTGTCCTTGGCTTTTAAGTTTTGCAGACATTAATCATCTCAAGAATCACATTGATTTTGACAGTATATATTTTTAAACTAAAACGAAATGATGCTTGCATAATAGTATGTCATCATGAACTGTTGGGGTTTTTTTTAATCAAACATCGTGGGAAATGTTAATGATAATACTTGTGGTTAAAGCTTGAATAAAGAACACTACCACTACGCACAACAAGCAGCGCATCAGATGGGCTTGGAGGTATTCTCCATCCCTGAAGCAGCTGCAGTTTAAATCCAGTTCCTAGCAGCTCGTTTGCCTGCAGTTGTGTAAATCCTAGGCATAAGCAGAGGTATCCCCAAGTTGCACTGAGAGTTAACTCCCATCTCATCTGGGTTTAGCTCCATCAAATCAAACAAAGCGCTGGGTATATACTTATATTAGCAAAGGTAGATAATTACTGATGGATGTTAAATAATTGCTGTTTACTTATGTGCCATTTCTTGTCCTTAGGTGTGTTCCCTCCCTACAAACATCCGATAAATCTCTTGACATAAATATAACCTAATGTATCCTCATATAAACTTTTCCCCAGGTTTCTTGGTCTGCAATCATATCTGACTCCCTGCTGGACAAGCAGCCAGGAGTATCTGATTCTTTCTATGAATTTTGAATATAGGTCCATGCGTAATTTTGTATCATGTCAATATAGTGAGTATTTTGCTGAGAGGAAACACTGACCAGTTTTCTCCTCCAAGTTTGCGCACAGAAGTGTCTTATGACGGATTGCATTGACCTGATTTTGGGGTATAGAATATGCAAACCAATATCTCTGATATTCTTTCAACAAATTTTTCTGTAATACAAGTTGTAATGAAAACATGAATAAGTAATATACAGCATGTTTTGCTTATATGCATACAAACATATAAACATAGGTAAAGATAAATATTTCCTCTTTAAAACATAATTTACTAACCTAGCGAGAAGTTTATTTTTGTCTTTTGAAAAATAAAACAGATTTCTACCAGAAGAGTAAGAAAATTTCAAGACATTTCTCAAAGCTCTATCAGAGGAATCATATACAGCGTAAACATGTTACAAGGAAAACAGTCTAGAGATTGTTTGTCATCCTATTCTGTTTTACAGCAGAATGCAAAGTTTGGGTTACTTCTTTAAACATCAGTGTAAGAAGAAAAACGTTTCCACCTAAGAATTGTACAGCATGGATGCAAACATGTTTATCAGCAATCATGTTTAAATACTTAAGGAAAGGAAAGAGAACCCAAAGAGTACAAATGGAGCTCAAATCAGGTAGAATTATATTTCTTACCTGTTTTAACCCTGAGGACAAACTGCCAAATACACAGCACCTAAAGGGTCACAGTCACTACACAACAGGTAATTCCAACCAATATGCTGTCCCAGTGGAGTGAAGGCATGTTGTGGTGCGGACTGTCTGCTCTGCTATAAAGTGGTATTATACATTCATAACCTTGTGATGGATAAACCATTAACTACTTGTCTAATGCTAAAACTTTAACCTTTTCTGTTCCCCTTAGGGAAAAAAAAAGGTTTGGTGGAGAAGTAGCACACCATTATTTCTATCATTTTCCACCCGATAAAACATTTCACTTATCAAGGCATTAAATGTCATGTCTTCTACTTGCTACAGGAAAATGTCCCAGCTCAGACACCCAGCTACATTTATACTGATAAGGGCTAGAGCCTATTATTTCAGTGCACAGCATGGCTCAAAGCCATGTCACCGAACCTCTCTTCCCTCCAAGCAAGGCATCTCCGTATAGAGACAGAGATATATGTGTGTGTATAGGACTGGCCTATATCAGGCACTTGGCATGCACTTTCAGGAGAGTAAATGGTATTTCCAAACTACATAATTTGGACAGGCAGGGCAGAGCCTTGTTGCATCCCCTCTGTGCACCTCCACCATTAAATATGGTCACTCAGCAGGCACTGGCACAACTGGGAATAAAATCTGTGTCTGCAGATTCCCAGAACATCTGATTCATCTGGAAAGGAGTGGGGAAGAAAAAGAAAACAGGTAAAAGGCACAAGTAAAATGTGAAGCAGAAAGAAAAGTTACACCACCAGAACTGCCAAAATCAGCATCTTCTTCTGCACGCTAGTGTGTCTCCCACTGACAAAATAAAAGCTACAAGATGAATATCACAGTCAAAGTGAAGAGGCAAATAGAGCTATTAAAAGCACTAATTGGAATAAACACTGTCTTTTTTATCATCAGTGATCAGTAGATGAATCCCCTGCATGTAAGTAGGAACAGTACCTTGCTTTCACACAGTGTTCTTCATTAGTGAGGAAAGGAGGTTTGTTTGGCTTTTTTAACTACCAAAGCACTTCCATCTCAATTTTAGAAGCAGGGCTCAAAAAAATGATGTGAAATGCCAAGGATACAGAGAAATCCAGTCAAAAAAAGGGCTCAGGTCTCTTGGGATGTGGCCCAATGGTCTAGCTGCTAGATACTACTGATACTGCTACTGATAACTGCTAGGTACTACTGTTTCTTTAACCCCTTACAGATTATTAAGACCTTTTTTTCTCTTATCAAGAAAAAAGATGAGTAAGATAAGGTATGCATTTAATCTTTTTGGTGGCAATCTGCAAAATATTCATAAAAATACTTGTTCTCATATTCAAAAAGTCGATATGGAAAATACCAAACATCTACTTTTTTAGTGATCAAGACACTCTGTATTGAGGAAAGCACCTAAGGACATAGGAAAGACTGAAATAATTAAGATTACATTTAGGAATGGGAGCTCCAAAATTGTTAATATGCTTTTTCAGCCAGCCAGATGTCTTAACAATCTGCTCGCAGAGGTTTTAGTTAAAGGCGGGCTGTGCCGCCACACCAGTGACTGGTACTGGGACAAACCTCCAGGTGGGACAGGGCTGTTTGCTGTCCCTCTGCACCTGCCTGCCCGTCTGCGGTAGCCATTGCGTTACGAGTGTGTCTCTTGTCCTAGATGTTTCCTTTCTCCGTGTTATTCTCATTAGCAAAGAAAACAGAGAAGGAAAAAGAGCCTCGGTGCCGGGATCGGCACGGTGGTGCGAGGAGGGCGCGGGGGCCGTGGCACGCAGCCGGTGGGTGGGAGGGAGCCCAAGGGTGGGAGGAAACAGCCATCTCCCTGGCACAGAGGGGACACTCGGGTCTCTTAACTCACGAAAACGCAAACCGGCACATTTCTTCCGAGGGGGTTGCGCAGGGGGTCTGTGGGGCAGGGCAGCAGAGCAGCGGCATGTCCCTACACAGGACTTGTACAGAGCAAAGCAGAGCCAGGCATGACTCGGACAGACTGGATCTTGCAGATGGGGAAACTGAGTCACAGAATAGTTCAGCAACATTAAGTCAAGCAACACGCAACATAACACCAAGTCTGAGGTTTACGATGTATTAAAAGCACACCCAGCTTCTGAATCACAGGTCTGGGTCCTTTGCTAGTAGAAATGCTGCTAGATGATAGCAGGGACTTTGCATACTTGCAGAGATTTTAATGACAAAGTTGGAAAGAAATAAGAATTAATTCTTGTGGTTACTGACTATACCCTTTCTGTTCAATGGAAATAACATCCCTGCTTCATTCTTTTACACAGCTAATGTTATCACAGACATCTTTGAGCGGAATATTGTGTTTAGATATATAAAATATTGTGAGTCTAAAACCTTGGGTTGCAAGCCCAGGTTTGCAAATGGAAGACCGTTTGTCATCTGGGAAGTGGAAGTAGGACTGTAAGCAAAAAAAATTGGGGACTTCTAACTTGACATGAATATTTTATATAAACCTTAAAGAAAAAAAAAAGCGTAAGGAACCAGATGGCAAAACCAAAACAAATCAATAAATACATCTCAAAGGATCTTACACCTTTATTTATGAAAATATTAAACCATGTTTATATGATAGAATAATCAAACTGAAAGAAATCCTTATTACTTGCAAATTTATATATGTGATGCAGCTGCGGGGAGACAAAACCATTCCTGAGTACTAGACATGTTTCCTCTGCTTTCCTCCATTTCTTTTAAGCCTTAATTAGAGCCAGATGTTTCTTATTTCCTTTCTTTTTTGTTTTCAAGCCTGACTAAAGTGTGGTGCCAGCAGTAAACACCATCTTTGACATTTTTTTATGTGTCAACTGCATCTGGCTGAGTCAGAGTCACAAACCAGTAAAATTCCAGCAAAGCAGTGCAAGCTTTCACTCCTGCTGTCATTCCCATCGGGAGCAGGGAATCGGCATTACTGCTTCTGGGGTTGCCACACAGGAGCCATAAAAATCCCAGAGTGTGTCTGAGAACCTTGTCCCTGGTAAATAACTCTGGAGGCAGACTGGAATGCCATATACCATGAAGGCAGCTTCCCCTCCTGTAGTCTTAGAGTGCTGGGAGTGATTTCTAGTCACTTAATTGCTATTCAGTTGTATAGATCTGCAGTCTATTTTCCGTTTCTTCTTTCCTCTCCTCAGGGAGGCAATGGCTGGTAACCACAGTATGTAGACGTAACCATTTCTTCTCCAATTTCGTGCCCTTACTGTGACACTGACTTCTTAGGTACCATCCCCTGCAGAATATTTTGTCATTAAATGTCAGTGATCTATATGTGAGAGCTTTCTTCCTGAATCAAATTGCAAAGTATGCTGTAGTATTTATAGTTATGTTTCTCAACCACTTTTTAAATGTATTTTCATTCTAAGAAGTGTACCAGATATAGAAATCTATGAATTGCAACAATTACATAACAAAGTGTTAGAAACTACTGTTCTGAAAAAGTCATCTGAGGACAAGTTATGCCTTATTTGACAAATACTAAGCTTTTTACTCCAACATATTTTGAGCAAGCACATATTTTACCTAGAATAGATTTTAAAGGCAAGTGCCCAGCAGTTTTCCAGTTGTCTTTCTCCCTTTTAACAGATGTGCTGTTGTTGTGCAGTCCTTGGGAGTCAGGCTTGCTTCCACTACTGCACATGCTAAAGGACTTTTTGCATAAAAACTATTCTGTTTTCTTCCACCGACTTCTCTACCAGTAACTCCTACCCCAGCTGCTGTAGTTCTGAGGAACTGAACCATGTGGGAGGAGGGCATTAAGGTACTAGATACACCAAAGTTTTCTCGTGCCACAGTTTTAAGAATTAATGAACCTGTAGGACTGGAATTCCTTGCTGCCAAATTTACTCTTAGTTCAAGCTACATTTAGATACAAGAAAAAAAAATATTTATTTACAGAATATAGAACAAATACCACAGTTACTAAGCTTTACAGAGAGGCAGATAAAGTAAATGAGAGAAAGCCATGTTTAACCCATTTATCCTTGTGATAAAACTTTAATGGGTTCCTTCCCTCCTGTCAGACAAACTCCTCACCTTACCCATTTGTGTGCCTCTATCAGTGGTGCCAAAGGAGTAGACCTCTACAGCACAACCATTCCACACTGCAGGAGTTTTGGGACTCTAGTTTTGTCCCAGGGATGCAGATGCCCATTAACGCTTGGAGCACACGAGGCGCAATGCTGGAGAGCACCGTCGAACTTTGTTTCCCGTGCAGGGACTCCAGCTGCCACGCTCTGCCTCCTTCCCATGGTGCAAACCTTGGCGCTTAAGTTAGGACAAGTGGGTGAGGTCCAAAGCGCTCTCTCGATCCAGACTAAATCGCTGGTGTAGGTGCGCCCAGTAGTGTGGTCGGGGACGCAGGAACTGCAGAAGCAGCCTTGCCTTTAAGCTGCCAGCTCGGAGATGCTCTTTTTCCCCCAGGACATCTTGTTCCCTGGTCATCCAGGGGGTAGTTTCAGCCTCTTTTCCTTTGGGCTACTGACTCCATCGTAGCCCGCTGACAACACTGAGCAAGATCTCCTGGGCTCAGGCAATGCTGTCCCAAGACCAGGCTCGCCATACCTGTGCATGAGTGCCTCCCTCCATGCCTCACCCCAACACCGATGCAACCGTGACGTCCCGAGTCATTCCCATGGGTGGAAACACCTTCCCATTGCGAGCCAAGCGTCTGCCACACACTGAAGCTGGTCTGTCTTACACAGAGCCAAAACCAAAACGTGCATTTTACATGATTGCCCAAATGGGATGGGGCATGCAGCCTGTCACCGGCTTTTTCTTGAGGTCAACCATGAGAGTAAGCAGTCACGCTGGCGATGTGGTTGGAGAGAGATGACCCCAGCCCCAACTCCAGGGGATGTGATGACATTGGTACATTTGATTTTCTAATGCAAAATTGTTGATTCCCCAGTTGGTTTATTTAAAGCTACTTCTAGATTTTTAAAGTTTCTGACTGGTAGTTTTCAGAAGTCTTATGGGGCTCTTTCAGATTTGTGAGCAAACAGATAAAATGGGAAATTAGGAAGTGGTGACTTTCTCTCCCTTAACTGGTCCTGGAGAAATTTAAAAGTTTTCTTA